CCATAGAAAGACCCGTGGTTAAGAAATTGGTCAGTCAGTGTCAGCTTTACAAGAAATGTCTTGATTGTAATCTGATTTATCGAGTCCCGTTAACGGGACACGCTGAAAGTCACAAATGCGCTTCCCGAAAATGCCCGATCTGTTGTGAAAAGCTGGATCCAGGATGTGATGTAATTCAGGGCAATCAATCGTGTTACATATAACCCGCCTCGTGTGATAAATATCTGCACAGTGAAATAATATTTTACGATTTTGAAACCTTTCTGAATTCGGAAAAAATACACGTCCCGTTTCTAGTGTGCACAAAGAGTGTGACAGGAAACGTCTGGTGTTCCTACGGGCTGGATTGCATCAGAGACTTCCTCTTAAAATTCCGTAGACCTGTGTACAGCGGATACACATTTATTGCACACAACTCGTGTGGTTTCAATTCATACATCATTCTCAGCTGCATGACAGAGCTCGGTATTTCACCGAGCATCATTATGCAAGGATCGAAGGTTCTGTGTTTCACGGACCCTGATTACAATCTGAGATTTCAGGACAGCTTATCTTTTCTGACAATGAGACTGAGTGCGTTGCATTGGGGTTCCCCGACTGCTCAAAAGGCTATTTTCTGCACAAATTCTCCTCTCTGGAACATTTAAATTACATAGGAGCGTTTCCGGCCGCGTCCCATTTTGATGTGGATAAAATGCCCCCTCTGGAGGTGCAAAAGTTCAATGTGTGGTACAGTCAAGCCAGTCAGAAATCATTCCATTTTGAAAAAGAGTCCATTTTTTATTGTAAAAATGACATGGACATTCTGCAGAAAGGTTGTTTTAAATTTAGACAGCAGTTTTTTGATGAGACTGGCGTGGACCCGTTCAAACAAATAACAATTGCGTCCGCGTGCATCAGAATCTATCAGAGTAACTTTCTTAAGCCTTACACACTGGCCGTTCCTAACCCCACGGATTACATTCATCATAAAACGTTTTCAAACGTTTCCATTCAATGGCTGGAGTGGATCGCGTACAGCAGAAAAATACAAATTGATCACGCGCTTAACGCGGGAGAGAAAAAAAGTGGGAAAGTACTTTCTGGACGGTTTTGCACAGGTGGGAGGGGTGCACACGGCCTTTAATTCCTGGGGTGTTGTTTTCACGTATGTCCAAAATGTTTTACGCCTCAGTCCGAGTGTCCGTTAAGACGCGTTCCGTTCGAAAGGATCTATGAAGCCACGAATGAGAAACTGCGCACTTTAAAAAATGATCACAAATTAAAAGTAGAAGTAATCTGGGAACACGAGTGGGAAAATCTGAAAAAATAAGACCCTGCACCTGGGTGAGAGAGAGAGAGACACTCTCACTACCCTCAGCAAGGACAAGAACATCATCATTCTTCCAGACAAAGGAAGGTGCACAGTTATTCTGAATCAGAAGGACTATGAAGATAAGATCATGACACTCCTTAGCGACAC